CTGAAAAACAGGGCAGTTCCGCGTCTACCAGGAGCGGGGGCGAGAACACTACCTTCACTGGTTGAGTTAGAGACGAATGCCAGATGCAGCGTAACCGGGAGCGGGTGCGGGAACACAGCCCTCACCAGCTACCTGCTTAACGGAAAGACAAGGCAGTTCAGCGCCTACCAGGAGTGGGGGCGAGAACACTGCCTTCACTGGTTGAGTTAGAGACGAATGCCAGATGCAGCGTAACCGGGAGCGGGTGCGGGAACACAGCCTTCACCAGCTACCTGCTTAACGGAAAGACAAGGTAGTTCAGCGCCTACCAGGAGTGGGGGCGAGAACACTGCCTTCACTGGCTGAGTTAGAGACGAATGCCAGATGCAGCATAACCGGGACCGGGTGCGGGAACACAGCCTTCACCAGCTACCTGCTTAACGGAGAAACAAGGCAGTTCTGCGTCTGCCAGGAGCGGGGGCGAGAACACTGCCTTCACTGGTTGAGTTAGAGACGAATGCCAGATGCAGCGTAACCGGGAGCGGGTGCGGGAACACAGCCTTCACCAGCTACCTGCTTAACGGAAAAACGAGGCAGTTTGGCGTCTACCAGGAGCGGGGGCGAGAACTGCCTTCACTGGTTGAGTTAGAGACGAATGCCAGATGCAGCGTAACCGGGAGCGGGTGCGGGAACACAGCCTTCACCAGCTACTTGCTTAACGGAAAAACGAGGCAGTTCAGCGTCTACCAGGAGCGGGGGCGAGAACTGCCTTCATTACATTACATTACATTGCATTTGGCTGACGCTTTTATCCAAAGCGACTTACAATAAGTGCGTTCGTCCAACAAAATACAACTTGAAGAAAAAGTACATCAGGTTTCATAGAGCAAAAACATTTCAAGTGCTACTCAACTGGCTTTAGAAAAGCCAGTCCTTTATTAGTATAAAAGTGCTTCGTTAATAGTTCTATCGCTCGAAGTGGAGTCGAAAGAGATGAGTTTTCAGTTTGCGCCGGAAGATGTGCAAGCTATCTGCCGTCCTGATGTCAATGGGGAGCTCATTCCACCATCCTGGAGCCAGGACAGCAAACCCACGTGTTTTCGCCGTTGGGAACTTGGGTCCCCCTCGCAGCGAGGGCGCAGCGAGGGCGCAGCGAGGGCGCAGCGAGGGCGCAGCGAGTCGTTTGGCTGATGCAGAGCGTAGTGCACGCGCTGGGGTGTACGGTTTAACCATGTCCTGGATGTACGAAGGGCCAGATCCATTCGCAGCATGGTACGCAAGTACCAGTGTCTTGAAGTGGATTCTAGCAGTTACCGGAAGCCAGTGAAGGCAGCGTAGGAGCGGAGTAGTGTGGGAAAATTTAGGAAGGTTGAAAACCAGACGAGCCGCTGCATTCTGGATGAGCTGCAGAGGTCGGATGGCACATGCAGGTAGACCAGCCAGGAGGGAGTTGCAGTAGTCTTGGCGTGAGATGACGAAAGCCTGGACCAGAACCTGAGTCGCTTTCTGTGTCAGCTGGGGACGTATCTTCCTGATGTTGTAAAGCGTGTATCTGCAGCAACGGGTTGTAGCAGCGATGTTTGCAGTGAAGGACAGGTTGTTATCTAGGGTCACACCCAGATTCCTTGCAGTCTGAGTCGGGGAAACAACTGAGGTGCCGATGTTGATTGTTAGGTCAAGAGTGGGACAATCTTTTCCCGGAAGGAAGAGCAGCTCAGTCTTGTCAAGGTTGAGTTTGAGGTGGTGAGCAGACATCCACTGAGAGATGTCAGCTAGACAAGCAGAGATGCGTGCGACGACCTGGGTCTCTGAGCGGGGAAAGGACAGAATTAATTGGGTGTCATCAGCGTAGCAGTGGTAAGAAAAACCATGCGGGCTAATGACTGATCCGAGCGAGTTTGTGTACAGGGAGAAGAGGAGGGGACCAAGAACAGAGCCCTGAGGGACCCCTGTAGTTAATTGACAAGGGTCGGACTCAGACCCTCTCCAAGTCACCCTGTAGGTGCGGTCTTTCAGGTATGAGGTGAGGAGGGAAAGTGCAGAGCCTGAAACTCCAAGTTTTTGGAGAGTGCGAAGGAGGATCTGATGATTCACCGTGTCGAATGCAGCAGACAGGTCCAACAGGATGATGACAGAGGAGAGGGATGCAGTTTTGGCAGTGTGCAGTTCCTCCGTGACAGCAATGAGAGCAGTTTCTGTGGAGTGACCTGCCTTGAAACCAGACTGGTGCGGATCCAGAAGGTTGTTCTGATTGAGATAACAGGAGAGTTGTTTAAAGACAGCGCGTTCAAGTGATTTAGACAGGAACGGGAGGAGAGAGACAGGCCTGTAGTTTATATAGCCTTCACTGGTTGAGTTAGAGACGAATGCCAGATGCAGCGTAACCGGGAGCGGGTGCGGGAACACAGCCTTCACCAGCTACCTGCTTAACGGAAAAACGAGGCAGTTCAGCGTCTACCAGGAGCGGGGGCGAGAACACTGCCTTCACTGGTTGAGTTAGAGACGAATGCCAGATGCAGCGTAACCGGGAGCGGGTGCGGGAACACAGCCTTCACCAGCTACCTGCTGAACGGGAAGAGTAGAGCGGTGCTACTACTCACCGAACAGAAAAAGGGGATGTAGCTACATCCGCATTACCGGTAGAGGGAGCGGGAGCGAGAGCACTGCCTTCACCTAGCTGGGTAAAATAAAGAAGCTTAACAGTACATGCAAGACGTTAGCCGAGCAGCTGCTGCTAACGATCAAGCGATATCAAGTCAAATAACACACATGTTTAAGACCAGATAACTAGCTTCGAAAGAAGAGAACAGCACAGAGCTGTAGTTACAGCAGTAACCATGGCCAGTGCTCACACGGCATATAACCGTAGTTACAGTAGTAACTATGGCCAGTACTTACACGGCTTAGAACCGTAGTTACAGTCGTAACTATGGCCAGTGCTCACACGGCATATAACCGTAGTTACAGTAGTAACTATGGCCAGTACTTACACGGCTTAGAACCGTAGTTACAGTCGTAACTATGGCCAGAACTTACACAGCATAGAGCCGTAGTTACAGTAGTAACTCTGGCCAGTACTTGCACGGCTTGGAACCGTAGTTACAGTAGTAACTCTGACCAGTACTTACACAGTATAGAGCTGTTTACGGTATTGAAAATGGCCAGTACTTGCACGGCTTGGAACCGTAGTTACCGTAGTAACTATGGCTAGGACTTACGGCTTAAAACCGTAGTTACAGTAGTAACTATGGCCAGTACTTACACAGCATAGAGCCGTAGTTACGGTATTGACTATGGCCAGTACTTACACGGCTTGGAACCGTAGTTACAGTAGTAATTATGGCCAGTACTTACACAGCATAGAGCCGTTTACGGTATTGACAATGGCCAGTACTTGCACGGCTTGGAACCGTAGTTACAGTAGTAACTATGGCTAGTACTTACGGCTTAAAACCGTAGTTACAGTAGTAACGATGGCCAGTACTTACACAGCATAGAGCCGTAGTTACGGTATTGACTATGGCCAGTACTTACACGGCTTGGAACCGTAATTACAGTAGTAACTATGGCTAGTACTTACACAGCATAGAGCCGTAGTTACGGTATTGACTATGGCCAGTACTTACACGGCTTGGAACTGTAATTACAGTAGTAATTATGGCCAGTACTTACAGCTTAGAACCTTAGTTACAGTAGCAACTGTGGCCGGTGCCTAAAAATGTCAGCCAAACGGCTGCCCACTAGATAATATAATATTGGGAGGATGAAATCCTCCTTAATGGCCATACATGCAGAGCACACAGCACACAGTGAAGATTGTTCTCTGCATATCGTCCTAGTGCTAGGAGTCTAGTCCTAGGAGTCTAGTACTAGGAGTCTAGTACTAGGAGCAGTAAATACAACGATATAGCGCTACTGCAACCATACCATGCGTTTACCGCTGAGTTAAATAATGAAGCTTAACAGTACATGCAAGGTGTTAGCCAAGCGGCTGCTGCTAACAATCAAGCAACCAAGTCAGAACACAATGTTAAGACCAGATGATTAGCTTCTAAGAAAGAGAACAGCCCGCATAGAACCGTAGGCCATGGTTACAGTAGTAACCGCACATGCGGAGCACACAGCACCCGCAGTGAAGATGTTCTCTGCATATCATCCTAGTGCTAGGAGTCTAGTACTAGGAGCAGTAATACAACGATCTAGCGCTACTGCAATCAAACCCTATGTACCGGGAGCGGGAGCACTGCCCTCATAGTTAAGCTTAACAGCAAGGTGTTAGCCAAGCGGCTGCTGCTAACAATCAAGCGACCAAGTCAGAACACAAATGTTAAGACCAGATAATAGCTTCTAAGAAATAGAAAGTACTTACCTTACTCTCTCTATCTAAACGAAAAACAGGTTAAATTGAATGAGGGACACAGCCAAAGCTGGGACTCAAATGCTAATGATAGCTCGGGCACAACGCCACAAGCAGAACTTTCAAAAGAGCATAAGGGAAACTTTATGGGAGAGGAAGCGGGAACACTGTCGTCACCAGAAAGTCTAAGCCAAACAAAAAACAAGACAGCAATCAGGACAACTTGGCTGGGAGAGGGTGCGGGGACACAGCCATCACCAGCAACAAGCTGACACCAACCTGTCTGTCGAGGCTCTGCACAGCCGGCCACAGCTCCTGGAGGACGCGTTAACGACCCGTAGCTCCGACTGTCAGTCACGAAGCTGCACGCGGCCAGCTGCTTGCAGAGAAATCCCTCAGATCAAACGTTCAAACCTGAACGCTGTAGGATACAAAAATGTAGCCGCGGTACCCTCGCGCAGCGAGAAGATGAAAGGAACAGATCCTCTGACGACACCGGCTGATATAGCCGGTGTCACGTGGGTCACAGGTGACTTTGTTGGTATTGGTACTCGAGCTGCGCATGCGCGCGATGGACATATCCAGTGCTGAAAGCACCGCCTCTGGCGGTCAGTAGGGACAACATAGAACTGTGATTATGAATGTTTGTAAATATGTGTTTCAGACAAACAGCTGGTGGAGATGATCCACTTCAGAGCTCTGGATCTTCTGAGCGCTCATCAGCAGAGCTCGCTCAGGTACCAGTCCGTCACCCTGTTCCTCAGAGGTACGTCTACATCATAATTCATCCATCTATAATTCAAAATGTGTCCCCTGTTACAATGTCCCCCAGCACATAAACTGACGGATTGCTGTAGCCACATTTGATGTTAGAGGAAATAAAGCTAATTGCCTATTTCCATCTGAGAGAGGGTATAGTATCTTTAGTATCAAGTGGTATCTTAAGAAACGTGTATAATAGCCGGGGTCAGATTACTTTAAAATGTACTTTATACTAAAATAAATGAATGCTGCCTTAAAGATTTGAGTTCCAGCAATAATATTGCTTCTCCAAACTAATGAAATGCAAATAAAATGCACAAAAACATCATCCCACACACGGTACAACTACAAGTGATGTCTGTAGTCTTTTAGAGTTGTAAATTCTACAGTTTTGAGACATTTAAATATTTATATATATTGCTTTTTTATGGCTGCATCCATAAGGGAATACGGCGATAGATGCGCATGGAAAAGCATTGAATAAATTAACTGTATGAAATGGTTCATCTGAAAGGAGATACTGTACTCTAGAAGAGTCTAGATTAACATACTCAACATTGAAGGGGTATTACGTGTTTGTAAAATCACATTCTCCTCCATTACAGCCACTCCTGAGTAATGTGGTTGTAATAACTTCTGTTTACACACAGTCAGATGTCTCGAGCTTTGTCATTAGTTCTCCCGGCTTCCTAAATGAGGCTCACTTAGTGGGGGGGAGTTCAAATACATCGATTTCTGTGCTCAGTGAGGCTCATGCAGGGTATTAAGTGTGTCTGTCCCCTCTAATAACATTGTCAGACCAGCACCTCTGGGACTTTAGCAAATCTCAGCAGCAGGATTAACATATTGTGTTGACGCAGTCCTGCAGAGGAACTCAATACAGCGAGCTCTCGTTACTAAACATATATGGTAATAAGTGAAGGGAGCCCTCATTAGCTCGAACACAGAGACATCTTTGTTCTGAACGCAGAGCTCCGTGTTTCTCTTGGCTCCGGTTCGTAGGTGGCATGCATGTTCCTTCAGAAAACACCAGAGAGGCAAGAGTACACACATCCTTTGCTCAAGTAGAAGTACACATACTCGTGTTTAAAAATGCTCTGGTAAAAGTAGAAGTACTGACTAAACTTCTTTCCTCATGTAGAAGTACACATACTCATGTACAAGTCAAAGTAAAGTACTTTGAAATGTACTTCAGTAAAAAGTACCCATAACTAGCAGCTGCTTTAAAGAGTACCTGACCTCCCTTTATATTATTAGAACAATAATGTCATTGTTAGCTAATGAATGTTTCCATGCTGAACAACGGCAACATGACAACGTTTCCATTGGTCCCTCTTCTTTAGAGAAGACCAGGAAATGATGGATACACGGATCGTGTTCAAATCAATAGGCACGCAATGACTCTAAAGAATAATGATCACGCATCAAACACACATTCAGACTAAAGGAACCAGCTGTTTGGAAAATGAGAGAAGTAGAAAGTACAAGTATTTGAGTTCAACATGTAAGAAGTAGAAAGTACAGGTATTTGAGTTCAACATGTAAGAAGTAGAAAGTACAGGTATTTGAGTTCAACATGTGAGAAGTAGAAAGTACAGGTATTTGAGTTCAACCTGTAAGAAGTAGAAAGTACAGGTATTTGAGTTCAACATGTAAGAAGTAGAAAGTACAGGTATTTGAGTTCAACATGTAAGAAGTAGAAAGTACAGGTATTTGAGTTCAACATGTAAGAAGTAGAAAGTACAGGTATTTGGGTTCAACATGTGAGAAGTAGAAAGTACAGGTATTTGGCTTCAACATGTAAGAAGTAGAAAGTACAGGTATTTGAGTTCAACATGTAAGAAGTAGAAAGTACAGGTATTTGTGTTCAACATGTAAGAAGTAGAAAGTACAGGTATTTGGGTTCAACATGTAAGAAGTAGAAAGTACAGGTATTTGGGTTCAACATGTAAGAAGTAGAAAGTACAGGTATTTTGTTCAACATGTAAGAAGTAGAAAGTACAGGTATTTGAGTTCAACATGTAAGAAGTAGAAAGTACAGGTATTTGTGTTCAACATGTAAGAAGTAGAAAGTACAGGTATTAGAGTTCAACATGTAAGAAGTAGAAAGTACAGGTATTTGGGTTCAACATTTAAGAAGTAGAAAGTACAGGTATTAGAGTTCAACATGTAAGAAGTAGAAAGTACAGGTATTTGGGTTCAACATGTAAGAAGTAGAAAGTACAGGTATTTGAGTTCAACATGTAAGAAGTAGAAAGTACAGGTATTTGTGTTCAACATGTAAGAAGTAGAAAGTACAGGTATTAGAGTTCAACATGTAAGAAGTAGAAAGTACAGGTATTTGTGTTCAACATGTAAGAAGTAGAAAGTACAGGTATTAGAGTTCAACATGTAAGAAGTAG